AGACTACCCAAACCCAAACTCACTGCCATCAAGTCGACTGCAACTCATAACCACCCTGTAAGACATAGTAGAACTGCCTTCCTTTCCAAAGCTGTAAATCTTTACAGAAGCAAACTGTCTCATCTTTCATGGAGTGGCTGGTGGGTTTGAACCACTGACCTTTGGGTTAGCAGCCCAATGCTTTAATGACAGTGCCACCAGAACTCTTTTCTCCAGGCACTAGGTACCTTGCTTCTCCAAGCTTCAGTTCTTTAAGGGAAGGAATGAACCATATCTGTTGAGAGGGGTTTTGCACACGGGCTTCAATGCCAGAGCGATGCGGACTCAATTGCTTAGATAACTGATCCTTAGATAAATTACTTCCCTGGCCTTGACTTGTATCCTATTTCTGTGAGAACCTGATGAAAAAATAAACAACTTAGCACAGAGTAAGGTGTTCATGAAATCTCTGCATGCTAAGCAGAGACGGCATCAGTAAACACTCAACTGAACACTCGTATGTTATCTCATGTACACGTCTTACTCTTTTAATTCCTTTATAGCTGTCTCTTCTAGACTGAGGTCCTCTGTTGTTGTTAGGTGTCTTTTGAGTCAGATTCAACTCATAACGACCCTGTGTACAACAGAACAAAACACTGCCTGCTCCTGTGCCCTCCTCACAATCACTGCAATGCTTGAGCCCATTGTCACAGCCACTGTCAATCCAGCTGCTTGAGGATCTTCCTCTTTTTCACTGCCCTTCTACTTTACCAAGCATGATGGCCTTCTCCAAGGACTGGCCCCTCCTGATAATAAATATGACCAAAATACATGAAATGAAGTCTTACCATCCTCACTTCCAAGGAGCATTCTGGCTGTCCTTCCAAGGCAGATTTGTTCATCCATCTGGCAGTCCATAGTGTAGTCAATATTCACAGCCCTTATACCACATTGCAAAGTTTGGCTTTTCTACCCCCACTAGACCTTCTTAGAAATGGAAGCCTTTCTTATTTTAGCAGTTACCTCCAGAACTTGCAACCTAAAAGACATTTAATACTAAACTGTTGGATGGATGGATGGACAGACTTTTGGGCAAATGAAAAGTGGTTACTACATATAATCTTTGGATCCTAGTCCCCTAGGGATGTTACCTCCAAAATCATCCTTACTCTGCCATTAAACATCCCTAAACTTTGTAATTCACTTAACCAGGAAACAGCAATGGCACTACCTGGTGGTCAGTGCAAAGAGCACATCCTAATGAACAGAAAGAAGTCTCTTCCTTTTGAGTCACTACACTTCCCAGTTCTGTGGTTAGGAACTATCAAGAGTGAGGGGAATTTGCATTTTCAAAAGATTAAGCTGATGATTCTGCTGAATAGACTGGAGAGGGTGAAGGGAAGGACGCAGGGACACCAACTGGGAGGTTATTTTATCAGAACTAGATCAAGTCCGAGTCTGTAACCTCAACACTAACATGCCTACTACTTGGTAATACTGCCTCTCTTAACAGGGGCCTTCTCAGTTGAGCACTGTGATAGACAAGAGTCTGAGACCTGTTCAACAATTCAGCTATCTCTGCCCCGTTATTCACACCCTTGTGTGAGATCAAGTGAGGAAGACTGACAGAGTGACTTGCTTCTAATAGAATGTGGCAAATCTGAAGGGAGGCCATTTCTGTTGTTAGTAGACTCTCTCCCTTGTTGACTTTGGTGAAGGAGGTTGCCATGTTGGGGAGGCCCATACAGTAAGGAACTAAGGACTTCCTCTGCCTAACAGTCTGTCAGTAAACTGTCCCTGTCCTACAACTCTTGAGGAAATGAAATTCTGCCTACATCAATGAGTTTGGAAGCAGATCCTTCCCCAGTAGAATCTTCAGTGAGATCCAGCCCTGGCCAATGATGACCTGATTGCAGCCTTTTGAGAAACCCTGAACCAGAGGAGCCAGCTAAGTCATTCCTGGACTTCTGAGCCATCAAAACTCTGAAATAGTGTTGTTTTGAGCAAGAGATGTTCTTAATCAACAGATAATACAAGCACCTACTCAAAATGTGCCACTTCATGCAGGTCTGAACCGTCTAGAAACCTGGGACACTTTCAATAGTCAGAATCAACTACACTAATGTTTTTCTCCCCTACGTATACCGCCACCCTGCGCCAAGCTCTGTGGCATCTCATGAGAGCCTTTTACAGCAGATTCCAGAGTGTGCTCATGTAAACTGTCACTTCTGTTAATTCTTTTTTCTTTGACCATGTCAAGTTTTACCATGTCAGGAAGGGAGTGTGTCAGGATTGTATCCTTCACCATACTTACTCAATCTGTATGCTGAGCAAATAATCCGAAAAGCAGGACTATATGAAGAAAAACGTTGCATCAGGAGTGGAGGAAGACTTACTAACAATATGCAGATGATGCAACTTTGCTTGCTGAAAGTGAGGATGACTTGAAGAACTTATGATGAAAATTAAAGACTACAACCTGCATATGTATTGCAACTCAACATAAAACAAAAATCCTCACAACTGGACCAATAAGCAGCATCACAATAAATGGTGAAGACTGAAGTTGTCAAAGATTTCATATTATGTAATTCCATAATCAACACCAATGGAAGCAGCAATCAAGACATCAGATGAGGTACTACACTGGGCAAATCTGCTGCAAAAGACTTCTTTCGAGAGCTGAAGAACAAAGATGTCTCTTTAAAGACTAAGGTGCGCCTAACCCAAGCCATGGTATTTTCAATCGCCTCATATCCATGTGAGAGCTTGACGATGGATGACTAAGGAAGACTGAAGAAGAGTTGATGCCTTTGAGTTGTGGTGCTGGCAAAGAACACTGAAAGTACCGTGGACTGCTAAAAGAACTAACAAATCTGTCCTGGAAGAAGTGCAGCCAGAATTTTCCTTGGAGGCAAGAATGGCCAGACTTTGTCTCACCTATTTTGGTCATGTTATCAGAAGGAACCATTCCCGGGAGAAGGATATCATTGTTGGTAAAGTGGAGGGTCAATGAAAAAGAAGGCCCTCAAAAAGATGGACTGACACAGTGGCTGTAATGATGGGCTCAGGTATAGCAAGGATTGTGAAGCTGAAGCAGGACTGGGCAGTGTTTCATTCTGTTGTACAGAGGGTCGCTATGAGTCAGAGCCAACTGGATGGCACATAACATCAGGTTGCAGCCCCATCCTGTGCTAGGTCTCAGCAGAGCATTTACAGCCCACAGGGAGGGCAGCTTACAAAGAAAGGCCATGAACACCAGGATGGGGTCAGGGTATTAAGAGCCAGATCTGCATAAGGGGCATTAATCCCCAGAAAGGAAATAGGGTAATTGTGCCTTTAAATACATACTTCACTCCTTTTAGAATATCCTGTGATAGATTATATGGTATTGAAGGAAGTATAGCCATGCTTGGATGCCATAAATTTAGTTAATTCCTCCTAAACAAACAGGAAATGAAGTAGAATCACACAAGGGACATGTCTGAATCTAGAAGTAGGGTGGTGGTTGTTAGATGCCACTGAGTTGGCTCCAACTTGATTCACCCAAAAAGCCTGTTTAAGATCCTGAACAATTTGGGTCAAAATGAGTTTTAATCAAGGTTAACTCATAATCAACAGGTCAGATGCTTTTGTTTCTCACCCTCACTGCCTTATATTCACTGTGGTAGTTAAGTTTGTGTGTCAACTTGGCTGGGTCTGGTTAAGTGGCTGGGCAGCTGGATGTAGTATTCCCCATGATGAGACTGGTAATCACCTCCATGGTGTAATCTACTGTGAGCAGCTGAGTAGCTGCCTTAGGGCTGTGATCTGCTTCCTATATACAAAGAAAAGCCTTGGGGACAGTCTCTAGCTTATGGCACGCTTGAACCCTGCCATGTAGCTGTGTGGTTGTTCAATAGCCTGCCATGCTCTGCTGACCTTGGGACTTTCAATGGACTTGAATTAATGGCCTACTATGTGGTTGGTAACATTGGGACTGTGCCATTTTATTTGTTGGCATTGGGCTTATTAGCCTCAGCAGCCAGTAGCTGCCTGAGTGAAGAGATGCCTCCAGCTTCAGTGGGCTGGGAACAAGAGGCAGAGCTGAAGCCCAAGATTGAGGGGATCTCACACAGCCCCTAGTGTCTGGCACTTTGAACTCGGACTTCAAGCCTCCTGAATTTTAAGAGAATAAACTCCTGTTTGTTCAAGCCATCCCCTTTGTGGTATATTCTTGTCAGAGTGGCACTAGGTAACCAGAACACTCTCACAATACTTTAAAGTTGTCATTTAAGCGGGCTGTTTTTACTGAGGATGGCTAAGCTCTGGATCTCCCCCTTGGGGAGGCTATAGTCTAGATCCATACAATGGTCAGAGGCAATCTCTAACATCTCTTCCAATTCTAAAATTCAGAGTTTCGAGGCTGACCTCCACCCCAACCCCCAGCCTCTGCTGCTACCTCAGATTCTCCACTCATTCTAACTGGGCACGAGCAGCAGAAGGGGCAACCCAACCTCGCCAATAGTGCAAATACCAGAATCCTACCCTCTCTAGTCCAGCCAAGCCAAGCCGTTGGTCATTACCCAACCTCCATGTTCCCAGGGGAATGTGGAGTTCCATCACTTTATAGGCAAGTGTCAACCCCAATCTTCAATACCCCTAGCTACAAAAAGACTGAAAATTATCCTTTCTGGAAAATGACTCATCAGCTTTTTTGTAGGAAGAAACTCTTCTTTCTCTAATGCTCTGACTTAGGGGAAGACAGTGGTGCTGAAGGAGAGGGAAAGGACAGTGACTAATACTCTGAAACTGCCTAGTTGAGTATTTGTGGCCTTGAGAGGCTCTCAAGACAGAGCAATGTAATTCATGAGCATCTCAACTAAAAGTAATAATACTAACAGCATTTGCAGGCACAAAGGGTCTCCTTCTAAGAAGTTCATGATTCAACTACATCCCCTCAATTCTCATGCCACTTCCCATCAAGACAGAGAATGGGGGCAACTGGGAGGCCACGGTCAGTTCCTTGTCAGAATCCACTCTCAGTGTGTCAGTCCCTGGAAGTTGGGTTCAGTGCATGGAGGCAGGGCCACTTGTTGGCTTAGCAACTTGTCCACTATGCTGATTTTAGCATCTTGCTCCTCAATGTCCTCGTATGGTGTCCAGGACAAGTCATGCTGTAGCTTGTAGGCACCAAGGAAGTCATGTGGACAACTTGTCCCCCATTCCTAGAGAAGGCAAAAGAGTCAGTTCTGATGAGGGTAGGGTATAGACAAACTGAGGGTAGGGTATAGGCAAACTGAGGTCATTTCTTACTTATCCCACATTTTTTGGCTTTTCATTTTCAACCAGTCAGGACCATCCTTGGAGAGCTGTTAGATTATACATCAGATACCTCCCTTAACAGAAATAACGATTGTGAAATAATTTAAGCACATTAGCTGCTAACCTAACGGTTGGCAGTTCAAACCTATACAACCACTCTGCAGAGGAAAATTCTGCTAAACTGCTTCCAAAAAGATTATAGCACAGTTCTACTTGACTCAATGACAACAGTTTTGTTTTGTTTTTTTAAAAAAATGTTTTAGAGTAGTGTCTGGGCTCACATCTCCCACAATTATCTAGAAAACTATTTACCAACATGCATACTGACATTCTCACACACACCTGCCCTAAGCTTCTCAAAGGCCAGGGTAGATTTTTGAGCAAAGAATAAATGTTCCTACCTTTGGAGAAATGATGGAAAAATATTCTTGACCACTCTCTCGTTTATAAAGGTAGTAAATGTTGCCAGGTTTTTTCACAATGTTACAAGCTACATGGTGCAAGTTGGCATCTCTGCGAGCATCTTCCAATATCTAAGAATAACAGAGACATACAAATTAGGAAGTTAAGGTAACCAAAAATGAAAACCAAATCCACTGCCATCAAGTTGATTCTGACTCATAGCAACCCCTGTTGGGTTTCCAAGGCTATAAATCTTCACGAAAGCACACTGCCTTATCTTCCTCCAATGGAGCAGCTGGGGGGTTTGAACTGCTAACCTTCTTGTTCGCAGCTTATGTCTTACCCGCTATGCCTCCAGAGCTCCTTATAGTTAAGGTAACAGGCAGTCATAATCACTATGATCTCAATCAAAATCTGAAAGCTGTTCAATGCTTAGGCTCTTGCTCCTCAAAGCACTAGTGGAATCCAGATGATTCCAAAGAAACAAAAATCACACTATGATACTATGCTGAAAAAGGAGCTCTGGTGGCTCAGTGGTTAAAAGCATTCAGTGCTAACCAAAAGGTTGGTGATTCAAAACCCACCAGCCACTCCACAAGAGAAAGATAAGGATGCTTCTGTAAAGATTTATAACCTCGGAAATCCTTTGGGGCAGTTTTACTCTGTCCTATAGGGTCACTAAGTTTTGGTGGTATGGTGGTTAAGGCATTTGGTTGCTAACCAAAAGGTCAGTGGTTTGAACCCACTAGCCGCTCCATGGAAGAAAGATAGGGCAGTCTGCTTCCATAAAGATTTATAGCCTTGGAAGCCCAGTGGGGGTCACTATGAGCTGGAATCAACTCAATGGCAGTGAGTTTGGTTTTGGTTTGATAGGGTCGCTACGAGTCAGATCGACTTAATGATAGTGGGTTTGGTTTACTATGCTGTGAAAATTCTTTTAGAAAAATATACTTCAAAATATTGACTATTATTGGTTTTGGGTAGTTTCAAAATGTCTTTCCTATTTTTCTGTAATGAGTACATTTCTTTTATAACTTAACACTTTATTTTGCCCTTTGAAATGCTTTATCTCTGAACTTTCTCCTAATGAAAAAAAGCTTAAAACCTCTCAGGCTTATTCCATCTATTTAACTCAGCACCTCTACATTTCTAGTAGGTATTGAAGACAAGTTATAATGATTATAAACAAGTTCAGTCTGTGAACTAGCTGAATAATATGAAAGCCTTCCTAACGTCATTACTTACCTTCTTGGCTTGTTCTTGCAAATGTTGGATTTGCTCAGCTATGACTGTCAGCTTATTAGTGGCATTTGCTCGGATGAATTCATCAGCCTATAGGAGAAAAAAGACCTCACTGTGGGTTGGAAAAGGATGATTTCTATGATGTTCTTATTTTAGATCTCAATGTGAAGTGTTATGTCAACATCATTGCTTATGCCTGATATATTCTTTCCATTTTCATCCTTCCCACTCATCCCAAGGACCTGCAGCTTAACAGCATCGCCAAACCTGACATCACCCTACACCACAGAATAAACTACTCTCCCTTTTCTATTTCTATTTCCCATAGCTTTCCATCCTTTTCACACTACAGTCACAATGAACTTCAGTCCATAACATCCCCTGCTCTTAATATCAAATACTTAATGTTGTTGTTGTTGTTATGTGCCGTCGAGTCAGACCTGACTCATAGCGACCCCTCCTTGGGTTTCCGAGGTGGTATCACTATGGAAGTAGATTGCTCCATCTTCCTTCCGAGGAGTGGCTGGTGAGTTTGAACCGCCAGCCTTCTGGTTAGCAGTCAAGTGCCTTAGGCACTATGGTACCAGAGCTCCCTCAAATACTTAATATACACTCTCTAATACATTATTCCCCTTGCTCTTTGCCTGACCAACCCTACTCATTCTTCATGTCACCATTTATTTTCTCATGTTTAAACATTTCTGAAATCAGGGATGATGACTCTTTTTTTTTTTTTTTTTTTGATACTTCTCATTTTTTTTTTTTATTTTTATTGTGATCTGGGTGAAAGTTTACAGAGCAAATTCATCTTCCATACAGCAGCTCACATACACTTTGTCTCATGACATCAGCTGCAATTTCCCACAAGGCAACAGCTCCCTTCCCACTTCCTCCCCATAGATACCCCTTCCCTTTGTCCTTCCCTCCCATGAACTCCTGCAAAACAATGAAAGTCAAGACAATGCAATATTGTTCCTATCACATGTTCATGTAAGACTCTCGCTACATAAAGTATTTGTTAATCTGACCACTATCTCAGCTGAATTATTTGCATCACATCTATTTAAATTTTATATTTGTATCCTTATTTTTTTTTAATGTACTATGACACAAACCTGAAACAAAGTTATAATGCTCACAGAAGACTGGCTGTCATTTACCAAAAGTGCAACTGATAGCAATGGAAACTGCTTAAAACCAGATCAAGGAATCTACCTTGTCATGTAGTGAGAAGAATTATCACTCAGGCATCTGAAATCTATCAAAATTTCCAGCTTACTTTCAAGAAAAGTTGATTAAATTCCAAACCAAACCAAACCCACTGCCACTGAGTTGATTCTGACTCACAGCGACCTCCATTGGGTTTCTGAGGTGGTAAATCTTTACTGAAGTAGACTGCCATCTTCCTTCCACAGAGTGGCTGGTGGGTTTGAACCGCCAACCTTCTGGTTAGCAGTCAGATGCCTTAGGCACTATGCCACCAAACCAATCCATTGAGTCAGATCCAATTCACAGCAACCCCTCCTTGGGTTTCCGAGGCAGTATCTCTATGGAAGTAGATAACCCAACCTTCCTTCCAAGGAGTGGCTGATGGGTTTGAACCACCAGCCTTCTGGTTAACAATCAAATGCCTTAGGCACTAAGCTACCAGAGTTCCTACTATGCCACCATAGTTCCTTTATTTTATACTTATGACACATCTCAATTTGCACACCGGATTTTCACTGGAGATACTGGATTTATATTTAAATCTCATAAAATGCATAGTTGAAAAAGCCAGTTCAATACTCAAATTGTTCCAAATACTTAAGTTCAAATTATTGAACCAATCATCAGATTTTTCATTTAGTTAGAATGAAGTAAATTATTCTGTCCCTCAGTTGCACTAGCCACACATTCCAAGTGCTCAACAGTCACATGTAGCTATCAGACTAGACAGCACAGCATGTGAGTAAAAGACACCAAAATTAAGATAATCAAACCTAGTATTAGACGTATTCAGTTTAAAGAGGCAGTGCTCTGGCAGATTCCTGGGGCTTAAGAACACGCTCTGCTTTCCAGCAACCCCAAGGACACTCGGGGCCTGCAAGACTGAAAAGGCTTTTAGTTTTTTGAT